CTGATTTTCCACACGGCCGTGCTGGATTCAAGCCTTTTTTGGTGCGGCCGTGTGAACTGCAAAATTGCGATTTTTGGTCCTAAAAATTAAAACATGTTTAACTTATTAGCTTGCATGCTTATAAAATAAATAAACAAAATAAAACAAGAAAAATAAATAAAATAAAATAAAATAAAATAAAACGAAAATCTCGGGTTGCCTCCCGAGAAGCGCTAAGTTTATAGTCTTCAGCCAGACTTTGTTCTTGCTCTTCAATTCCTTAGCTTTTGAACCCATCTCCTTACTTCCTTTTGGAGAAAGTCTTGAATAAATGGGTTGATGCGATTCTTCTTTCGACTGGTTCGCTTAGGAATGCCCTTGAATTTATTCTTCTTGATGTCATGAGGCTTGCCAACATCGTCTTTTATCACGGTGTTTTGAGTAGGTGTTGTAACAAACTCAACCTTTTTCTTTTGTTCTCCTACATGCACATTAGTATCCACAAAATTCTTTAAATCATGTAATTTAACAGGAAAAAGTTTAGAATCACTTACCTCATCAAGAAGATAACATCCATTAGCCGTAATAGGCTGTTCATCCACCCGGTACACCTTGAAGATCACTGTTTCGTCCCCCACACTCATTCTTAGCTCTCTCTTCCCTACATCAATAATTGACCTACCGGTTTCTAAGAAGGGGCGTCCTAAGATAAGGGGAATATTTTCATCTTCCTCTATGTCTAGTACTAGAAAATCGGCCGGGAGTATGAACTTATCTACTTTGACCAATACATCCTCCACTATACCTAAATGGTGAGTAAAAGATCTATCGGCTAGCTGCAAGGTCACGGAAGTGGGCTTAATTTCTCCTAAATTCAATTTCTCATAAATTGATAAAGGCATTAAATTTACGCTCGCCCCTTGATCACACAATGCCCGCCCAAAATACCTTGTACCTATTGTGCATGGAATGGTACAACTCCCCGGATCTCTAAGCTTCGGTGGAATTTTATTTGCAAGGATAGCACTACTTTGCTCATTTAAGTCTATTATTGCTGCACACTCCGGAAGCCTCATCTTCTTCGATACAAGTTCTTTTATAAACTTAACCCAATTCGGCATATGCTTAAGTGCCTCAACAAAAGGAATATTAACATGCAACTTTTTAAGATAATCCAAAAATAACTGAAATTGCATATCAAGCTTGGACTTTTGAAAACGTTGAGGGAAGGGTACCTTGGGAGTAGATTCACTTACTGCGATCTTTGTGTTGCTTGGCCCGACCTCGGTCTTTTCTTTGGGCTCCTCTACAATAGACGGTGGTGCAACGGACTTTTTAGGACCTTCCTCTAACTGCCTCCCATTTCGCAAAGTTACTGCATTGCACTGCTCAATGTTGCTCTTTCGAGGATCTTCTGTATTCGACGGCAGTGCTCCCGACGGCCTCGCGTTTAGTTGGGTTGCAAGTTGACCCATTTGTGTCTCAAGGTTCCGAATGGATGCTTGAGTCGACGTCATGAATTTTGCTAAGATGTCAGCGAGGTCAACTCCTTGGGGTGGAGCTTGAGGCGGATTTTGGAATCCGGGAGCTGGCCTTTGTCCTTGCTGATTTCCTCCCCATCCAAAGTTGGGGTGATCTTTCCATCCCGGATTATAAGTGTTGGAGTACGGGTTCCTCTGTTGTCGATTGGTGTCATTCACGTAATTTAGAGACTCCGTTTCTTCTAAGCACCGGTCGGGACCTTGGACTGCATGGACTTGCTGAGTCTGCAAAGCTGCTACTTGTTTTGATAGCTTCTCTAATTGGGCAGTGATTGCTGTGACCCCGTCTAACTCCAAAATTCCTCCCGTCTTAACGGCTCCACTATTTGACCGGTCCGATGCCCGCATGTATTTGTTCCTTGCGATCCGCTCCAAAAGTTCGTAAGCTTCGTCATAGGTCAAGCTCATGAACATACCGCCAGCTGCTGAATCGAGCACCGTTCTCGAATTATCTTGCAATCCATCATAGAATATTTGCAGTTGGCGCCACTCTTGAAGTCCGTGATTCGGGAACCTCCGAATTAATTGTTTGAACCGCTCCCACGTCTCGAATAATGCTTCACCGGCTTCTTGTATGAAGTTTTGTATTTCTCTCCGGATTCTCTCAGTTTTTGTTGGGGAGTTGTATGTGTTCATGAAAAGTTGTGCTAGCTGGGGCCAAGACGAGATGGAGTGTGGTGCACGAGTTTGTAACCACTCTCGGGCTGCTCCTTGTAAAGAGTGCTTGAACAGGCGGAGTTGCAGTGCTTCAGGAGATACGCCGTTCATCTTATGCGAATCACACGTTTCGAGAAAATTGACCAAGTGGAGATGCGGATCTTCGTGAGCTAATCCGCTGAACAACCCATTGTTTTGGAGCATAGTAAGGAGTCCCGCTCGAATTTCGAAATTGTTGGCTTCAATGGGGGGCTGCTGGATGCTTGATTGAAACCCATTGAGTGTTGGAACGGTGTACTCATGCAATGCTCGTTGACGAGGTAGTGGATTAATTAGTTGAAGTTGCTCTTGCTCATTGACGATATTTCCTGCCGCATTCGGTATGCGCCCTTGGTCATCTCCCCTACGATTATTCTCTTCTTCCATTCGCATAAAAAGTACCTAAACAAAAATAATAAAAATAAAATAAGCAACGAAAATAATTAAATAAAATAAATAAAACGGCTGAAGTAAAAAAAATTGCTCAAATTTAATATTAGGATAAATAGATAATTTAGCCGTATTCCCCGGCAACGGCGCCAAAAACTTGTTGGGTGCTAAATACCTAACACGCAAGTGCACGTATCGCAAACAAGTAGTAAAAGTAGACTCGTGAGAGTCGGATGTCGATCCCACAGGGAATACGTAAATTATCTAATCCTAAGTACCAAATTCTAACAACTATGATTTTTATCCAGCCTACGCAAGTTTGTCGAATTAAATCAATTAAACAATTAAACTAATTAAGAAAGCAAAGAATCACGAGAAAATATCAATATAAAACGGATCTAGGATTTTATCTTCCCCCTATGCAAGAATTGCTCACCCAAAACCCCTCAATTATGAAATATATGATTCATGATTATTAACCCGAGACACTAATTTACTCATAACCCGCTGTCGCGTGTATTATGAGTCTATTATTCATAAACGATTCACTATATGTCTATGCAAACCAATTATAAATAAAGCATTAACTAACAAGTCTCGTAAATGGCTACCTAAGGTGATATCTGTATGTCTACGACACCACATGCAATTGACACACTCATCCGGTGAAAACTACTCGAAGGTTCTTATACTTACCGTCTAATTATCAAAATAGCTCTGTCGAGTCAATCCCAATAATCACAGATAAAGCACATAAATTGATCAAGTTCATGCACTAACAATCATAACAAGTATAAGAAATAATCATAAAATCATAATTGCATAATCTCAAGAAAACGGGTTCACCATCCCCACATAGGGTTCCAACAAAATCCTAGATTAAAAACTTAGCTACTCATAACGAAAAACATAATAAAAGTAATAAAAGTCATAGATTAAGAAAAGATAGGTAAAAGAAGAATTGCGATGAAGAGTTGTCAATTCTCCGTCTTCGATTCTTCGTTCTCTCGCTCCTCTCGCTCCAAGGTTGTGTCCAAAGTCCTTTGATTCGTGCTTGGTTTGGGCTTAAATAGATGTCCCAACTTGGTAGATGATTCTAGGTTTCCTTGTGTGTTTAAAAGTCCAAAATTGTCTCCAGCGTGACTTGGCACGGCCGCGCGAAAATCAGTGCAATTCTCGCACGGCCGCGCGAGAATCGCCGAAACCTTCTGCCCAATTTCTGCATTTGGCACGGCCATCCCATTTTCTTCAGGTTTTTGATTATTTCACTTTTGGCCCATATTTTCTCCAAAATTACAGTTTTGACCCCAAACTTTTCCAATTCTTCAATTTATACCTAAAATACAATAAATCAACTTTTTAAGCACCAATTATCGTTAAATCACACTAAAAGCTCAAATAAAAAGGTACGATAAAGTATAAAAATATATACTTAACAGGGCCCACAACCCATTGTGGTTTAAACTCGTCCCTAGAGTTATATTTAAGTTGAAGCTAGTTTCAACTTAACTACCCAATGAATCAAGATTGGCGTCTAGCAACTACGCGTCATGATTCTCTAGATACAAATGAAGTGCCTGCAAAAACCGTGTGATATAGTTAACGTACAGTACGATCCCTACGATACATATATCCCGATTGAACTAGAGGCATTGGTTCATCGAGACCTCTTTATAAGTTCAATAACTGTGTGGACGTTTTTGATTATATAATCCGTTCGTGTTTGACTTAGAGAAACGCATTTCTCTAATCACGACACTTTCAGCTGTGGCCATAGACTTCATGGATTATAAATCGCAAGAACACACAGAATAGCCATGACTGATCAAGCGATCGAATCCCCTACTACAATGCACAGACCTCCCACTAGATTTCGGATTGTACGAACACTGGCCCTTGGGGCGGTCCTCGGTGGAACTCAGGGACAGGTCACGATACAGCTGGTCCTCTAGTGAAGTCACGGTGATGTTTGGGTCTTAAGGATTAATGGTGTACAACTATATGATTGAAACCTCTACTCGATTATTGTGAACCACTTAGAGATCTCTAGATTGAGGGAGTTCAGTGAACTCATAAACTTACTTATGAGCACCCACTTATGTATGCCGATGTCACAATACTGTTGACTGATGAGACGCAGTACACATACACTAAGTGCTAGTCTCGAATGGGAAATGCCGATATCCTCATTAGTGGCGTAACACGTTGACTAGGAACCACATTTAGCAGTTACTATACTTAAATAAATAATCTCACGATTCTACTAGATCTATTTATAGTAATTAAGTAACTGTAAGGACTATATCTATGCTTATGCAAGGGACAAAGATATAGAATGCCAAAGGGGGTATTTATCATTAATACGAAATAGATTATTTACGAGTAGCGTGAGAAAACACAACAATTAGTTGGCTCTTCGGTCACCTACTCTAACAACTTCCCCAATTGGCATTCTTCACAAATTTCGTCCATAGCTTTAATATTCGGCAATCCTTGAACAATTTCCTTGTTTGATAACTCCTTCAAACTTTGGAAATTAAGACGCCCGAACCGGTGATGCCACAAACTTTGAAACATCGTCCTTCACAGTTAAATGGCAAAAGGCTTCAAAATTATCAGGTTTGATCGGAAAAATATTATTTCCGTTCATACCGATATTTGCAATGTGTTGATCCTTCTTTTTCAAAATGCAAGTGAAGTTGTCGAAAAACGTGTTGATGTTGGGATGTGAAGCTCAGGAATCAATAAAAATTCGCAAGAGGTTCTAGATTAGCCGGTTTTAATTTTATTAACATGATTTGATTAGATTCGTTTAAAGCGGAATAAATCTAATCTAGAAACTTACAATTTTCGCGAGCAGATTTGTTTCTATCTTCGGCGCACGAACAAGGATCCACACCAAGCCTTCAATCCTCGAAAAACTGATGTCCAGAAATTCACAACCTTCTTCCTTCACCAATATCTCCGAGATGGTTGATTGGATTAATAAACCCTTTGGTCGGATTATATTACTATGGGTTAGAAAGGAACTGTATAAGTTTCAAACCTATCGGACGAACGGTTGATTTATGGCGATTTTCTTCGCAGGACTGCTCAGCCAATTCGGGAATAAATGTTTGCTCTAAAAACCTATAATCTTCTATTCTATATCCCGGATTAATAATTCTTCTACAAGGGTGAACTTGTACTTGAAGAAATCTAAATCTATAATCGAGAAACTTAGAGAGAAAAGAAAAACAGAAAAATATTTGCTCTCCAACGTGAAATAGGCGTGTAGAATTATTCATCCCTCTCATCAACCTAATCTCTATTATATATAGCACAAGGAATTAGAGTCACACATAGAGAGGATTACATGGAAACAAATCCCACTCCTTCTATAACTCTATATAGTCGAAAATTGCAATCCAATGGGGAGTCAATTTTCGGCTACATTAATTGCAATATATAATATTGGTTGAACTTTATTTTGTCGATTAATTAGAAAATCCATTGGGCTACAATAGGGACTAAAGGAGAAAATATAAATAGGGCAACTAATAATTAATTAAATCCAAACTCTTAAAAGAATTCATTTAATTAATCATAAAATAATTATTTATTTTCCACTACCAAATAATTATTAAACTCCCCTTCATATTCTCAAATATTACATTCGAGCTCCGGTCGATCATTACTTAGATTCTCCCCCACATTAAGATATCTTATAACCACCAAATAATTTATTCACTGCTAAATAAATTAAATGGTTTCTTTTCATGATTCTTACCCGGTTAACTTATTTGAGTATGCCGGATACGAAATCCACCTGGCCAGGACTTGGCATAAACAAATATTATAAGCTACTCAAGGGTTATTATCAATCCCATATTTCAGAGATGTGGATTCATTTCGATAATTAATTTCCACCTATTAATTCTTAATGTCTCTACCCAACGCATCGGGGGCCATTTGACTCAATATAGGAATCTCTCCCATTGTGACATCAAAGTAGAGATCATCAATTAAATATGTACGTTAATTATCTAGGGATTAAGTGAGTAAGTAATTTACTGTCAACTAGAAATAATATAGTTTCATTTATGAACAGTCATGAAACAATTATTTCACTTTGTCCGGTTCAACACATGCCGGGTGTGCTAGCACAATAAGTTAAAACAATAACTACAAAAGTTATTTTATGTTTACTGTGATCAAGACCAATCACTTAAATATTGTGCTACAATCTTTTACCAATGGATAGTCCATTTTCATGCTAGATTGTGAACGTTTATCTTTATATTCTAAACGAACTTTCAAAATGATATTTTTGTGCGCCGTAGCACACCATTTCGAATACTATTAGAATATTAGACTTATGATTTTAATTAATTGACAAACAATCAATTAAATGCATTGAATACCCTAGTGCAGATTCTCATAAAATGATAATATACAATTTTATTAATTCAATAATAAAAATGTAGCTAAAAACGAGCCTTTTAGTCTACTATCCTAATAATCGCCCACTTAGACTCAAAGACTTGCAGCTCAACATCTCTAACCCTTCCACAGAACAAATCTATGGGGATATCATCCGATGTAAAAGCATAAACTGTATATCTAGCAGAATATGCATTCGCAGGATTGCATAAACCTCCCACTATATGTTTTCACTTCTTAGAATAATAAATCTCCCACAGTGATAACATGCTAAAGAAAAATTACTATACTCGACCATTAATTATTGAGTCGTACCAAGACTATCCGCCTAGTAAACTAGTATATAATCTTGTATCCTTGAATACTTAAGAATATACTTTACCGCAGTCTAACATACTAGCCTCAAAATAAATTCACATTTGCTAACTATGCAAGATGCAAAGCAAGATTTGAATTTAATTATTTACTATAGCATATGCAAGGCTTCTTTACAACAAGAACTGCCTTCAACATCTCTATCGCATTTCGTGTTCAAAGACACTAACTTCAACATCTCTATCGCATTTCGTGTTCAAAGACACTAATTTCTCGATAGAGCGACTCCATGCCTGAAAGAAACAATTCTTTCTTTGGAATTCATACATGCTAAATTTGGAAAGTATTTAAATCAATATAACTTGTATGTGACAACTTAATGTCCTATTTCATAGATCCTATAAAATGATCCATACGACATAACTAGTTTCACTCAAGTTATCCATATTGATTTGACTCGAGAAACAATACCCTTACCTAAATAATTTCCAAATCATTTTCTAAAAGGAAATTATTATCTAATACGTCTTTTAAGGCTTTCACCGCGCTTTCGTTACAAAATGTGATACATCTAGATTCCTAATCAAAATCAAAACAGTGATTCTATAATCAATCTAAATATCACATGATATGCGCACTTTGCCTAAATTCGTAAATGAATTTATTAAGTTTCCATTCCAATGCATATGGCACTAAGCTAAAATCCATTTAATTTGCATCGTGAAATGCACTCGTCAAGAGATACGACATCTTGACATCCATCCATCTACCAACTTTAATACAAGGCAGTGATAGATTTTAGGAATTTCAATAGACTGGAGTGTGGCTACTAGCTAGAAAGTTTCCTCGTAGTCGATCCATTTCTTTCCGACAGAACCTTCTTACTTTAACCCTAACCTTTTAAAAAGGTTTTCACTTTTCTCAGTCTAATCATTTCCACTTTGGATTTTTATAGCACTAAGCCAATTTCTTGCATCTATAGAAATGGGCGTTGATTCATAGTTCTAGGAAGGAATTATATGTTTATCAAGAATCTTGTTATCACTAACATTCTATAAACATAGAATCTTACGATTTCATTATGAATCCTCCCACTAGGATAAATCACCCTAAATGTAACACTAGTAACTTAAATTCCTCCCACTGGAAAGTGGCATTGGAATTTCTATACTAGAATACAAGCGACACTCTTAACGTATTTAGGGTGTACTAGAAGATTAAGACGATCAAACTTCCTTAAAACTTAGTCATTAGGCTATGTAGTCCAAAACATGATCTTCCTTTAAGAATCTAACATTGATACAAATCAATGTTTTCTTAACTCTAGGAATCAAAATGGACCACTATTATTTTTCTCTTACTATTCCATACAAGAGACATTTATTTCTAACTTAGCTTTTACCAACCGTGTTCTCCCGAGGCATAAATGCTAACTGACTCCAGTTCCGAATACTGCACCGATTGTACGTTTAAACAATCTTTAATTCAGCAAGAGTCATTGGATACTAACTTAGAAGATCTTAAGTTCTTAAATAAATAACCGTCTCAAATGTATATATATTAGAAAAATAATAATACTCAATAAATCAGTATAGATTAGACCGTCTTCAATAAGTAATAATTATTTTCGTCGCTAAATTATATTCTATTGTGGTTCAATTTGGTACAAACATATGTAGGACAAATCCCTAGTTTAGCCAAAATGTTCAATAACTTATACCCATAAAGCTTCGCCATATCAAATGACTTGATATATTTATTCAAATGCTTATCTGTCACGGTCTTCAATTTCTTTAAGACCTCGGATGTATGTCGCATAATATGAATATATCTATGTCTCGAAATATCATCAATAAATGAGATGAACTACTCAAAACTACTTTAACTTGGGTATTTGTAGGTCCACAAACTATAGAATAAAATAAATCCAAAAATTATTTGATCTTATTTACACTAGGCCCATCAACCTGCACATGTTCCTTTTACTTTCAAAATAAAATTCTTAGACTGGCAGTGCCTTCACTTTTCATGAACCGTAAAGGCCCATCGTAAATCAGTCTCAAAATTTTATTCAAAGTAAAATTCAACCTCTTGTAAATATCAAATAATCATGCCATGGATGCAATACGAATATATATATATATATATATATATATACTCTATTGAGGTTAATTAATAGTGTTATTAATTGAATATAATGAGCTAATTGCATATAACCCCTGTGTAATTTCGAATGGCCAAAAACACCCGTGTGTTAAAAAAATTAGCAAAAACCTCCCTATATTTTGTTTTGCAAAGTACACTGCCCCTTACATTTAAATTGGGTGTTGACTTACATGAAATGACGAAACCACCCATAGTTAGAACAAACCAAATACCCCACGGTAGAACACAAAAAATCGGGAAAAAACAAAAAGGAAAGTTTGAAAAAAATACACTTTGGGGGCGGCAATGGAGTTGAAGATGACTGACCACCTCAAGAACAAAGAAAAAAGGGAAGATAACTCTTGTTAGTTCTGACACAAATTTTCTGGTTGTTAAATTTCATTTGGCCTCTTTGTATTGTGGGAAAAATAGGAAAATAAAGAGAGAAAAAAAAAAAAAAAAAAAAAAAAAAAAAAAAAAAAAAAAAAGAACTGGTGGATCTGACAGAAGGAAGAGCACGAGGGAATAGGCCATTGTTTAGAGTTATGAGGCTGAAGAAGTTTATTGTGTCTGTTCAAGCTCCTCTCCAAGTTCTCTAATGGTGGGTCTTACACACATACACACACACACACACAAATATACGGTATGTAATAGAATTGCAAATGCATTTCATTTTTTGCTTGAATTGAATTTCAGCTTCCCTTTTGTTTGTTGATTCGTAATGGATTATTTGATGGCGGGGGAAACTATTGATGGCTGTAGGTGTGTGGGGGAGAAGAAAATTCTTGTTTTGGGGTGTGGTTTTGGGTTGATTGGGGAAGATGGCTTTTTAGAAATATTGGGGATTGAATTGAAAATTTTGAGAACTTCATTTTGGGCCTGATTAAAATTATGGGGTGAATTTATAATTTTTTAAATTTCTAATTTAAAGGGTATTTGAGTCTTTTCACGTCAAAAAATGCACACCCATTCGCACATTTCGCGCGTGCTACACACGTTCGGCTAGCAGGGGCCTTATTGCCTTTGACTAATTTTCATAGGGGGGTATTTGCTAATTTTGTTAACACAAGGTGTTTTTCAGCAATTCAAG